GAATACATCAGGAAAGTAGTAAGCATAAGAAAGGTGGAGTAGCTAGATTAACATCTGATAAAACAAACTTCCAAGCAAAAATATTACCAGACATGAAGAGGAGCACATCATAATGATAAAAGGGTAAAGTCATCAGAAAGACAAATCATAAACATGTAATACCTAACAGTAAAGCTTCAAAATACAGGAAGCAAAAATCTGACAGAAATAGAGTGAAGTAGATAATTCCATAATCACAGTTGGAAATAGTTTAATACTTCATCTCAGCAACTCATAAAAGAAGTATACCATTAATTAATTAAAAATCCAGAAAGACATAGATAATCTAAACAACACCACCGACTAGCTTAACCTAACATAGAACATTACCCCAACAACTGCAGAATACAGATTCAAGTGTATTTACCAACAAAAACCATATGCTGAGCCACAAACAAGACACAATACATTTGAAGAGATTGAAATTATACCGAATATCTTCGCTGATCACAATTAAATTAGAAATCAAAACAATAAGGTATCTAAGAAACCTCCCTGATTCTAAAATTTGGCAAATTAAACAACACAATTGGAATAACTGATTTGCAGGAAAATACAGATGCTGGCGAGGATGTGGAGAAACGGGAACCCTCTTGCACCGTTGGTGGGAATGCAGACTGGTGCAGGCACTCTGGGAAACAGTGTGGAGGTTCCTCAGAAAATTAAAAATAGACCTACCCTATGACCCAGCAATAGCACTGCTAGGAATTTACCCAAGGGATACAGGAGTACTGATGCATAGGGGCACTTGTACCCCAATGTTTATAGCAGCACTTTCAACAATAGCCAAATTATGGAAAGAGCCCAAATGTCCACCAATCGATAAATGGATAAAGATGTGGTTTATATATACAATGGAATACTACTTGGCAATGAGAAAGAATGAAATCCTGCCATTTGCAGCAACGTGGATGGAACTGGAAGGTATTATACTAATTGAAATAAATCAGAGAAAGATAGTATTTGATGTTTTCACTCATATGTGGATCTTGAGAAATTTATCAGAAGACAAGGGGGGAAGGGAAGAAGAAAAAATAGTTATAAACAGAGAGGGAGAGAGGCAAACCATAAGAGACTCTTAAATACAGAGAAAAAACTGAGGGTGGATGGGGGTGGGGGAGAGGGGGAAATGGGTGATGGGAATGGAGGAGGGCACTTGGGATGACCACTGGGTGCTGTATGTAAGCCAATTTGACAATCAATTATATTTTTAAAAAAGGAATAACTGATTTGTCATAGAGGATATTCTAAGGAAAATTATAAAATACTTTTAACTGAAAAATGAAAAAAAAACATTAAAATTTTTGGGATGAAATTTACAGCTTTAAAATTCTTATAAAAATAAACAAATAAATAAAATTCTTACAGAAAAAAATGCTTATTAAGGGAGAAAAGAGATAAAAATCAAAGACCTAGAGTTCCAATGTAAAAGCTTTAAAAAGAGCTAAGTAAGTACAGAAGAGGAAAAAAAATTGAAATCAATGAGACAGAAAACATAAATCATAGAATTAATGTTACTAAATGCAGTTAAAGACAAAAGTCAGTTCTTTGAAAAGATTAATAAAACTGATAAATGCCTACCAGGATTGATAAAAGGAGAAAACAAATTACCAGTATCAAGACTGAAAGAGGGGTTATCACTATAAAGCCTAGAAACATAAAAGGCATAAGAAAGTAACATGTACAACTGCACACCAAAATCTTTGATAACTTCCACGAAATGGATAAACTCCTTATGAATACTATTAACCTGACACAAAATGAAAATAAAATCTGAATATCCATATATACATTTATATCACATATATATGTTGAATATACATGTATGAAATATGTATGTATATACATACATACATATAGTTGAATATGTTATTAAAATCTTCCCACAAGAAAACTTCTAGCCCAGATGGTTGTGTAGGTGAATCTATCAAATATTTAAGGAAGAAGTAACACCAGTGCTTTCAGAAAACAGAGGAAGAGAGACTATTTCCTACTTCATTTTATGAAACCAGATAACTCTAATACCAAACACAGCTATACATTAAAGAGGATAATATATTATGGCCAAGGACTATCCCAGGAATTCAAAGTTGGTTGAACATTTGAAAATCTAACAATAATTTACCATATTAACAGAATAAAGGTGAAAAATGTTATGATCATCACAGATGAAGAAAAAGAGTCATCTGGCATTTCTCAACATCCACTCATGATAAAAACTCTAAGTAAAATAGGGAGAGAAGGAATTTCCTCAACCTGACAAAGGCAATTGATGAGAAATCTGCAGCTAACACTATACGTGATGAAATTTTTTTAAAAAGCAGTATTACAAAAACCTTTACTAGAAATCTAGAAGACATAAAAAATATAGGAGACAATCTTTTTAACAAAAACTGTAAACCCAAATGTTACAGAAGACATATTTGAATATATAAAAATTTAAAACTTATGAATAAAAAATTATAAATAAAGCAAAAAAAGCAAGTCTAAATGTCCAATAAATTTATGAAAATGATGCTCAAGTTCACTAGTCAGAAAACACAAATGAAAATAACAATGAGTAACACTTTATAACCATCAGTCTATCAAAAATTAAGCAGAACTTACACCTGCAGACATTTAGGTACTCTCACACATTGTAGGTAGAAATATGATGACACTATAGTCTTTTTTGGAAAACATTTTGGGAGTAACTATTAAATGTAAAATGCATATACCCTTTGATCCAGCAATCCTACATTTGAGAATCTGTCCCACATACAGCCATGGGGCGCCTAGGTGGCTCAATCAGTTAAGCATTGGACTCTTGATTTTGGCCCCAGTCATGATCTTGTGGTTGCAAGTTCGAGCTCCGCGTAGAGCTTCGCTGGCAGTGTGGAGCCTGCTTGGGATTCTCTGTCTCCTGTCCCCCTCTCTCACTCTGCCCCTACCCTGTTTGTGTTCTCTCTCTCAAAAATAAATGAATAAGTTTAAAAAAAAAAAAAAAAAAGACACACAGCCTCTGATCCAGCAATCATATTCTTGAGAATCATTTTCAGAGAAAAATTCTCACTACAAGAGGACATATATAATAGGATACTATTGTTAAAAATGTTTATGGTAGCAAAATAATGGAAACAAATACCATTGATAAGGCAATGATTGAATGAATTATGGTACAACCTATGTATAGCATTGTAACCAATGTATTTTAGGTTACACTAAATACGTTTCACTAGGTAGTCATCAGGAAGACTGACTTAGAGCTTTATCAGATGATCTGGAAGAGTATTTCCCTGAGATACTGTTGAGTGAGAAAAATAAGAGGCACAAAAGCAAGCATCCAAAAAAACCACACAAAATTTTTAAACTTGCCCCAGAGCCTGTACCATACTGTAGAAGGTAAACACGTGGGGCTAACATAGGTCGGTTTTCAGGCAGCAAGAGAGGAGGAAAGCCTACGTGTGGGACACGTGCAGAGCTCAACCAAAAGAAAAAGAAAAAGAAAAAGCTTTAAAAAAATAGGTAAATAATTAGTTATGATCTAAACTCAAATAAAATGTGTATTTGTGTGAATGTACACAGAGAAAGTAAGTGAAAATTAAATTTATAAAATGTTCAAGACCATGATCGTTGAATGCCTTCCCACTTTCAGCTCGATCTGAGTTTGAGGTTTTGTGATTTAAGAAAAAAAAAAGTCCTGCAGTCTTTCTTCGCTTTCTTCAACTCATAATTAAATTTTAAATTAATAATAATTCTTATTATTCAGGAAAGTTATAGGATTCTGACAATGGTACTGACGGAAACCTCAGAAAATCTGTCTTAAAAATAAGGAATGAGAACAGATGTAGTACGTCGTTTGGCCATCTCCTTTTGTGTAGGTCACTGTGGAACTCCAGCCAAATTATCCCCCTCACAAGGAGGTAATTTATATTATAGATAGAGCATGAAATGAGAGAACAGTGAAGTTAAATTTAATGTTCAGCATTAAATGCTAATTTCTCAATGGAAATCTAAACTCTATACAGCTCTCCATTATAAAGAAATAATTAAAATAGATCACTTTTTTCAAATCAAGTTGTTACAGAATCATGATTCCAGAAAAATAAGTGTTCCCAACCTTCATTCTAAAGGGCCTGGCAGCAAGAACAAGAGTCAAATTTTCATGTAATTTCCAAGCTCCAATATTGAGAGGAATAATAAATTTCATTTGGAGAAAAACGTACGCAGTAAAAATTTCAGTCAGCATAAATTATTTCAATGCAAGTTAGATATACTGACATTACCCAATTTTTTAAATTTTAATTATATATCTTTGCATGATTTATAAAGTTATCCAAATTTTTTCTTTCATCTATTTCTAAGTGAAACCAGTGTTTTCTATCAGAATGGAACATACTGCAAAGAATGTTGAAGAGTTCACTTTGAACTTCAACAGTACAAACACCATAATAAGAATCCTAGGGTCAACATCATGAATTATTTTCTCCCTGATCATTCAATAATAGGAAGGCCTGGTTTTAAGGCACATTTGTGTTCCATTATGACTTAGAAGGTCAACAGGTGGTACACAAAAAATTAAAGAGGCAAAGCACTTTGAATCCATTACAACACGAAATGGAAAAGAATAAGCAAATAAAAGAAACATACAGGAAAAAAAAAAAAAAGAAAAAGAAACATACAGGTAAGGAAGAGAAATTTACACTTAGAGAAGCAAGCAGTAGAAACCGGAATACAGTTAAGGCAGATGAATTGTTCCAAAGTGAAGAACTTTCAAACAAAACAAAACAAAACAAAACAAAACAAAACAAAACAAAACAAAAAACCAAAGAATGTTTCAAAGAAATATATTTCTGCATATATGTAGAGAAAAACAATTTAAGTCTTATAAAGTATGGGGAGGGCTGATCATTAGTAATTTCTAACACTAAGTTAATCTAATTCTTTCAGAACAGGAATAACCACATAAAAATAAAATTTACCTTTTCAGATTCACCATTGCCCAAGGAATCCCAGTAGGTGTGTTAAAGGCAGGAAGGAGTTTCTCAGCCAGCTGAACTGCTTTAATCTTGAATATCTGAGATCAAAACAACATAAAGGAACTTTTTATAAAAAAAATTATAGCCACCCATTCATAAATTAAAGCCATTGTCATTTGCTGATCTCTCACAGGTCACATACTACACAGAAGTACAAGGAGAAAAAAGGGCATCTCTTTGGTACCATGAAGCATACAGCAATCAGAGAAAACGTTTGTAAACTGGATACTGAGGAAAGCTGAGTATGTAATGGCCTGAAATTATAATTAACTGAAAGGGAAGGATGTGGTTTTAGTGTTAATATTATCTGTATTTTCAGCTGTCAAAAGTCTAAGAAATGTCAGGTTATGAAATGTCCATCCGATGGTATACAAGCTTAGCACAAATATTAAAACAAAGATTTGGATAAATGCCCTTGAATTACTGTAAGCATGTTTATGTCTCAACATTTTCCATCAACATCTATCCACATTATTAAAAAGAAAAGGTCTGAGTTCACATTCCAAGTCTGAGAGTTATAAATGCTTCAACTACTGCTATTTTGGGTATGAAACAATAAACTACACTAGTATCAGTGGTTTCCAAACTTTTAAAATCATGTACTACTACCAAGATATTCAGAGTAAACTTTCTAATATTCTTAGCATATCCAAATGGATATGCGTCTCTATCCCACCTTTGGAGACTGTTGACTTAAAGGCTCCAAAATGAGACTGGGTCACAATAACCTAGTAGGAAAAAAGGCACATTCTCCTATATGCTTCAAGCCTATCTTCTCTCAAATTGATTTCAAACTCATCAGATATTTCAGCTTCCATCCGTCCACTGCAGTCAAATATTTTTGATAAAATATTATTCAACTCTTCAAATAAGGAGTTGAAGGTATGGAACAGATCAAAGTTATATGTTGAGGTTATATTAAACAAAGCACCCCAACATTACTGGGGGTAGAAGATATCAGAGAGAAAAATACACACAAGCTAACAAAGAAATATGTTAAGATGTTTTTGCAAGGTTCCTTAAATGAGGCAAAACTTCTTAGCAAAACTCGTAATTAGATATTCTCATACATCAACAATTTACCATTTCCTTGAATGCCTACTTTGACGTAAAAGTCTCAAGAAAAATGTAACAATTTAAGGTTAGTTTTTGTTTCTAGAGAGAGCATGTGCGTGTGAGTACATGAACTGGGGAGGAGCAGAGGGAGAGAGAGAATCTCGAGCAGGCTCCATGCCCAGTGCAGAGCCCCACACGAGGCTTGATCCCACGACTCTAGGATCATGACCTGAGCCAAAATCAGGAGTTGGACGCTCAACCGACTGAGCCACCCAGGCACCCCAAAGTTAAAGTTTTAACAATTTTCTCATATTCATCTCATATTCAGGAGAGCAAATGTAAACTGGTCCCCTTATGTTAACATTTTTACCTTAATAAAGTCTAGTTACATTATATAGTGAACAGTACTACTTCTGTTTACCATGAGGACAAAGGGACGAAGTTCTTACCTAATGTTGTTTTTATATTACATCTTTCCTACATACAAAAATTAATGTTTGGGGTGCCTGGGTGGCTCAGTCAGTTGGGTGTCCGACTCTTGATTTCAGCTCAGGTCTATCTCACAGTCATGAGATAGAGCCCCACGTCAGGCACGGGGCCTGCTCAAGATTCTCTCTCTCCCTCTCTCTGCCCCTGCCTGCCCCGCTCACGCTCTCTTTCTCACTCTTTCAAAACAAACAAAAAACTAATGTTCAAAATGGTAAAATGCTTACAAACATAAACTTTTCTAAACAGAAAGCATTCTCCTTTCCCTTCCAGAAGTAAACTTCCAAAAGATATTTTCTAATTTTCAACTAATTGGAGCCATCAATAGCAGATAACATACATAGTAACCAGTTACAGTACACAGCCCCCCAAAACAACACCCCAAAATCACAGAGAAAAATTTCCTTATATAGTATGCTTATCTCAATATATTCACAAAGATACAAACTCTTTAATGATAAATAAATTATAGCCCTACATTTCTCATTTTCACAAATATTTTGGTAGACAGCAGCAACAGCTAATTTAAAACATACTACTTTGCGGCAATGCAGGCAAGTAATACAAAATCCAAAAAGTGTCAAAGTAAAAAATAAGTCTCTTTTCCAGTCCGATTTCTCCACTACACAGTTCCTTCTACAATGCAGGCAGCTATCAGCTTCTTAAATGTCTAGTAAATACCTTGCACTAAATCAGTTCCATTGTATACATGGTTCCTAGCCTTGTCACATCAAATCCTCATTTTCTGACTTTTGCAGAAACAGAAATGCTATTAACAGTTTACACACACACACACACACACACACACACACACACACACACAGAATCTTTGTCTTTGTCTCTCTCTGAAACATGGACTATCATGCACTCTATCCTGAACTTGCATCTTTCACTTTACTGAACCTTGGAGATCTTTCCAAATCAGTCCACAAAGGTCTACCATAACCTTCTCTTTAGTGGCTGCAGAATTTCTCCTTGTATGGATATACTGTAATTTGGTCAGTCCCCTATGTGACAGACATATGTTTCCAAACTATGTGACTAGGTAAGATAAATTCTCAAAGGGGAACCAAAGTATTGATGGGTATATTCGTTTGTAACGTTCATAGTTAATGCCAATTGTCTTCCACACACTTTGCTAATCCATATTCCATCAGTAGCCATTTCCCTGTATTCTTGTTAACACAAAAGTCATCAAAATTTTGATTGCTGCCAATCTCATACAGACAGCTCCCGATTTTACAATTGACAATGAACATCTTACAATTTATCAACTTTACAATGGTGTGAAAGTGATATGCGTTCAGGAGAAACCAACTATAAATTCTGATCTTTCCCAGGCTAGGGGTATGTGGTAGATACTCCCTTGTGATGCTGAGCGTAGGCAGCAAACCGCAGGTCCCAGTCACCTGTGGGGAGGTGAGGGTGAACAACTGATATACTTTCAACCGATCTGCACTGTGACACAGCCATTCCGTCTTTTGCTTTCAGTACAACATTCAATAAATTAGAGGAACTACTCAATACTTCATTATAAAAAACTTTATTATAAGGTACATTATGATTTTGCACAACTGTAGGCTAATGCAGGTGTTCTGAACACATTTAAATGCATTTCCAATTTACAGTATTTTCAGTTTTTGATGGGTTTACCAGGACATGACCCCACCGTAAACCAAGGTAGATACGTAGTTGAAAAAGGAGACTCCATTATCATTTTTATTTTCATTTCTTTTATTATGAATGTGATAGATACTCAACACTCATCCAAATCTCCTTTCAAGCACACCTTCAAATACTGCAAAGGGTAGAAAACTACATAATGGCATCAACATTGCCAAGCATCCTTAAATATGCAATATTTGGAAGGAAGAAGTAAGTGATCTGAGGCAGTGGCCTTGCAAGCACAGTGGTGAAGGTATCTGGTTCTTCTGGTGGCTCTAAAAGAAGTTTGAATGACTGGTCTCTGTCTTCATAGGGACCCTGTGAGTAATCAAGGCAATGGAATTGGTGCTCAATTAGATACACAGTATGTTTGGGCATTTCTCCTGGCTGCATGGTTCCAAGCTATATTATAACAAAAATACCTGATGTCATGGCCCTCTCAAAGATTCTGTTAACGAGTCAGTACCCTGTAATAAATCACTAGGTAAAACAGATTCTGTTTTCTGCTATTATGATTCTTGATGGATACAATCATGAGTGCACATCAATTATTTCACATGTTTAAGAGGCTCAACAATATTAAGACTTCTACAACATTTCATTTATTTACAGAAAAACTTTTATGCGTCCAATGTGCATTATGTGAAATCCCCCAGTTATTTTTACCAGAACAAATGGTGGGCAATGGGACAATGCTAAAAGTTCCCAAGAAGACTTAGGACCAGAAGAATTATTCCTGGGTGTGGAAGAACTGGAAGAAATGGGGTTAAACAGATAGAATGTGGCAAGATTACAAACAACCTTAAAACAGAAACAATGAAACTTAAAGTAACACAACTGATAATACAGAACCACTGTAGATTATTGAGAAGGGAGGTGATATTAAATGCATGGGTACTTTTAATTGTTTTTCTTTACTGAATTAAATTAGTAACAGAATATTCTTCTAGCCTGTTTTCAACCTAGCAGAGTGAGAATACAGAAGTGAAGAGTTTAGAATGCCCAAATGACTCCCTAGACCATTCAGGGTAAAAGTCCTTTAAGAGGCTCTAAATCTTTATAAGCAATGAATCTCTATGACTTCTGTGCCTCACTCTCTCCTTCCTTTCTCTTCCAGCAACCTACTTCAGCCCCACTAACCTTTTTTGTTGTTCTCTGAGAATGCCAGTTATGCTTTTGCTTCGCTGTCTCTCCCTTTGCTATCCCTTTCTAATAAATGCTCTTATAAAAAGGTGTTCTCATGGCTCTCTCTTATCTCCTTCAGGTCTCTATACAAATGCTACTTCTGCACACACTCCCTGACACACATCCAATTTGAAATTAAAACCCCTTCATCCTCTTCCATGCTCTGTTTTTCCCCTTACTGCTTACCAGTAACAGTGCACGTATGTGTAGGTCTACGTGTGCAAACACACACATGCTCTCACATACCTACCCTGTTCATTCCTGTTACCCCCACAAGTAGAATGTAAACCATAGATGGGCAGAAGCAGTTTTATTCACTGTTTTATTCTCAGAACTTAAAAGAGTGCTGAGGCTATAACCAGTACTCAACAAGTGTTGAATGAATCAATTTAGGAAGCCAAAAAGCACAGAGATTTATAATAAGCAAGTAAACTATCTTCTTTCTCTTCCACACCAACCCAAATCCCCGAAATATCTGAGGCTAACATGCCAAGGTTTTAAGAGCTTAAGATCTTCTACAGAAATGTTGAGATGATGACAATGATGATAATGACAAACACAGATTAAACCCAATCAATTCTCACAACACCCCAGTGAGATAAATACTGTTACTCCCATTTTACAGGTTAGGAAACTGAGGTTTAAA